AAAAAAACAAATGTATCATGGTACATCGTTGAAGTGGTAGAAAAAGATGCTATTAGATACAGGGTAGTACTTTTTTAGGAACACCATTATGTAGTGCCTAAATAGCGCCATTAGTTTTTCGACATTTCTTAAAATAAACGATTTAGCCAAAGTTTAATTTTTTCCAATTGACTAATCTCTCAGTGTATGCAATGTGCGCAATTTATTTAAAAAAACATAGGATGTCAACCCTAACACACAAGTAGATGAGTATGCAAGGCTCACCTATAGTTTGCTGCACAGATATCCTGTTTCCCTCAGAAGAGTTGGAAGTAGACCTAATTTCCACTTTGGAGACACTTGGAACCCACGTCACAACACTAAAACACCAAAGCACCACTGAGAGACAATCAAGAGCCCTATAGTGAACACCACTACTGAAAAAAGTAGCTAAATCGAATAGAGCTCTGCACGGAGGTGTGAACGCGTAGACATTCCACTGCGCCGACGGTTGCCGAGAAACTGAAGGGTGCGAGTGCTGTAACTCGCTGTGGCGATGCGGTACTGCCGGGTAGTACAGCCACGCCCCTTTCCAGTTCCCAGTCCGCGCGTATAAACCGTTACTTCAATGCTACTTTTTTTAGGTTAATAATTGTGGCATGCTGTCGATTTTCGATTGTACAAATGAAGCTAGAATTGTGGAACGACTTTATTTTTCTTCACCTGATACAATTAATCTTAGCAGACACGGTTGAGGTTTTCCTCACCCAAGTGCGAATGCAGTCACTAAAAAAACATTCCCCTAATAAATAGTAGAGAACATGAAAATCGTACTTCTATTAATGATCATGTAATTTTAGATCTAAGAGTTAATAAATATAGTTATATAATAAAACATTGTTTTTTCAATTGTTGAAAGAAGTCCCATATTCAAAAAGAATATTATTCTATAAACTGGGCATTTATAAAAGTGTTCAGTGTTTTTTTTTAGTTTTTTATCTCCATTGGTACCCTCAACATTCTAGTACATTTAGGTGACAAGAAAGACAAGGTCAACTGCCAAAGCGTATGTCTATTCCGGGGTAACGACGGAGTCATTTAGTACGCCAAAGCGGCAGTAGAATATATTTCAATACTTGCCTTTCGTGGCCATGTTATCTTTACTAGGGCCAAAATTTTTTTATGAAAAAAAAGCATTCCTCCCATTAATATTATGAAAGGTTTCTTTTTTAAACTTTCCATACACCGTTGTAGACGAAAAAGCACCCATTTCTATGTGATAATAAAAATAATCAAAAATTATATACACGCTTTTCTAAAATAAACAACTTGCAACGAAATCGCGGTTAAAACCAACGCGTTCAAGCGATTCGAGTAACTGACGTCATCAACCCGTGTGTCATCTTCAACCATATTATAACCGCGGTACATAAGACAGACATTTTGGTTGTTCGCTTGGATTTGATTTATGTTGGTGCGAAGACAGATCCCTGTGGAACACTCGCGTCGACCTTCGGTTTGTTCGTACAGTGATCGGTGACTTGTCGGTGACAGTGTCTGGGATCCGGACTTGTAAATTCTGTGCATATAGCGTAGCAGAATGAGCGGAATTTATGTGGCGGAGTCTTGAACACGATCCCTGACAGGTTGGCGACAGCTGTACGAACAGGGCTCTTCTCGGATGAAGAGGAGAATCCATTAATTATAATGGATAACCTGTGGCCAGAGAGGGAGCAAAGCTTCTCTGGGAGGCTGTAGGATGGACGCTTGCGTAAGGAGGTCGTTGATAAGTAATAGAAACAATGTCGGAGCCAGGACCGGGGAATACCCGCAGTGACATTGTGAGATGAAGAGGAGAATGTATGTATAATGAATCCTTCCATGGTCTGACACACAGTGTAATGCACAAACTTCTGTATACAAACATAGAATATTGTAATCCTGCATCGCGTTCTAGGGCGGAAAAAGGCAAAATCTGCATATAATCTCGGCACTACTTCTAAAAGAAATGCAATTCTCGCTTGGCAAAACAGAAAAAAATTCACTCTATAGGATTGGATGCAATCAGCGTCAGTACCGGCAAATTCGAAAAATACAAACGAGTCTCAGCCGTGGCGCGAAAACGAAAAAGTAATCTGGAGAAGAAAAAGTAGAGCAACTTCAAGTCGCTGTTTTATTCATAAGAATCCGGAAGCTGCCGGAAGAGAGAATGAGGCGGCATTAAATATGCAAACCTACATTAAATATAATAAGGATGTAATGACACGAAAAAGCTTTTCAAGGAACTGGCAAATGAGAATTCGGAAATTGTATCTGCTTATTTAGCAGGATGATACTGCATAGCCGAAGAAAGAAAATGTTTTGTTTTTCGTCCAATTATACTCAAGCTTTCCGAATCAGCCGCGCAGGTAGAAGCCTAAATACAAGGCAGGCCGAAGCCAGGCGGGTCTGTCTGGCAGGCATATCACGCGGTGGCATCGGAGAGGAGCAAAGCCCGTTGGTGTAGCGTCCGTGCGAAAAGGTCATCAGTCAGTCAGAGAGCCGTCCTTTGAACAGCATCGAGCATGGGTAATGGGCGGTCGCACTCCAAACTTGAGAGAAGTATTCGAGGCAAGGTCTTATCTGGGCCCTGTTCAGACTGACTTATTAGCCCTAAACAAATAGCCTAGTTTTTTCCAGCAGTTGCAAATATTGACGAGATGTGTTCGTGCCAGATCATGTCCTCGGTGATCTGAACTTCAATCAGCCGAAATCAACGGCTCTTTTGTAGAATCCGGCCATCTATTGAAACCAGATGAGTGCTAGGGTGCTTCTTGTTTGTGTTTTAAGCTGTACCAAATTGTTGCCTCCTCAAACAGTGACTTCCAAGTCTCTCGTCACAAAGGTAGTTGCTGCTAGTCTCCTCCAGTTCATCGGCAGAGATCGGTTTATCACACTGAATTTCTGCATGCAGAGTGCGTCATCAGCAAATCGGTGGGTCGGATTAATTGTCCAGTTGTCACTGAGATAAAGTGACGACGGATATCTTTTGATAAGAGATCGTCATGTCTGGAATATCTGGATAGTAGCCTTAGCCATTAACGCCCGTAGGAATTTTTTTCAGACAGGGCTGGTCATTCCAAGAGATAACTTTTTGTGAACGTATACGACACACTTTTGGAATAGTGAGAGGTAACAAACTGGTCTCAGGGCTCTGAACACAAAATTATGCTAAATATGCAAATTCGAGGGTCCAACCAGACTCATAGGAGAGCCACGGCCTCCATTGGCAACTCCTACGAGCACCCATGGCCTTAGCGATAAGCTATTAGGTCACACCAGGTATTTATGAGATAGTCGCATCACTGTGGAATTTGATTGATCAATCTGACCATTAGATATCAGTGATTATAGCCACTACACTTTACCCGCTGAATATTCAAGATGTTATCTAACATAATATGTAATAACATCAAAGTTAACGGAAAAAATATTGTAGAAACAAAAAAAAAGTCACTCACCTTTTGAATTCAAATCTGTAAGTCAGTCAGGATATCTGTAACAAAAAAAATGGCGTCAAGTATGTTGACTCTCATAAGTTCATAGATGATTATATTCTGCACAAGCTGGGGCCGTATTGTTAGTAGTTCCTACAATTTTAGGACGCCTTTATGGCCTCCATGTTTTTCATAGTATTTTCTCTCATTCAGAAAGGTTGGGGTATTTTTAGATTTCTACTGATCCGAGTCAGCTTCAGCGCTCTCCAATTGTGAGGTTATGTTTTCTTTTTGAATCGTAAGCAATTTCAAGCTGATAAAACAGATGATAAAATACCAAGTTTTATCAGCCTGAAATTTCTTAAAATTCATAAAAATAATATAACCTGCCTTGCTGAAGGACAGGAAGAACTATGAAAATTAAGGAGGCCATAAAGGCGTCCTACAATTGTAGCAACGACTGACGATACGGCACTTACGACCCCCTGATAAAAACGTTAGCTTCGAATATATATAACAAAAACAAAAATGAAATGGTTTAATCAAACTGACACATACAAACAGGTTCATACATTGTGATCTGGAAATTTCTCATCACCTCCGACAGTGCCGACCATCTGGCAAAGTTGCTATGACTAATCCTCGCGAGCCAGCCAGCGGTCAGACCTCGACACAGGTATAGTGGACGACAGAGATATAGTTTACTTTTTTCTGTTTTTTTATGGTACCGATACTGGTATAATATGGTCATTACATGATATAGGTCTAAATAATGACGAAAGGTGCTTCATCTGTATAAAGTATACATTCGAGCAATGTGTAATAACGTAAAGAGTACTAATAGTTCTTCCGCACCTCGACAAACAAGAAGGCGACTCCAACATATCCGCCATCTCGCTTTTACGGCTCTTTAACGACCGTCGGTGAAGAAATATATGTCTAATAGGTTTGTGGAATGACAGGGGCTGGAAGAATATAAATATACTCACGAAAAAAATTGTGATATCCCTCACATATCCCTACAAAACCCAACCCATTTAAACCCGACAATTTATTTTCTGAAAATGATCAGGAGTGTCTGGAACGACATAACAGGAAGTAAAGTACCTAGGTCGAATATGGCCAGCCTGTAAATATGGCCACATACCGTTTTCCCAAACACGAAAGTTTGTTATGAGCTGAACGCGACCCTAAATTGTCGCTAGTATCGCATGTATTCGAACGGCCTACCTGTCACCCATCCGTGCAAGCGTTAGCCGCTCAGCCGTCATTATAGTGAAAAGCAGTGTTGAGGTTATAAAAACAGTAAGTAAGTATTGTCCTGTATTTTAACGTTGTTTTCATTATACATCTTTATTATTCACATTACGATGTTGTGTAATAATTGTAGTTTCATATTTCTTTGTATATTTATCAAAGTAATAGTGTGTTTTTCATTCGTGAATATGAAAACAAAAAATTTGGATGACTGCAAATATGGCCACCGTTTGGCCATATTAACAGTACTTACTGAATTGCTGACACGTTTTTTTGTTTTTGTTTTAGACCATGGCACGCTATAAATGTAAAGGGCTTCGAAGTAACTGGGCAGATGCTAATATGAAATTAGTTTTAGCTGCATTCAGAAGTGGTAAAATGAAAATTTATACGGCTTCCAAGCATTATAATGTGCCAAGACGCACTCTGAGACGTTATTTACAAGAAAACAAAGAGACCAAATCTACTTTGGGCCGGAAACCACTTCTTAACCCTGAAGATGAAAAGATTTTAGAATCCCGTATTATTCGTCTGTGTAATGTGTGATATCCATTATCACAGCGTGTCCTTCGTAGATGCGTGAAGACATTCTGTGATCAAAATAACATTCCAGCGCCAAGTGGAGGCTTGATGGTGGGACGAGATTGGCTGAGAGGATTTTTAAAACGTCATAGGAATATCAGTAGACGAAAAGCACAGTACCTAAACCCCGCAAGGACACAAAAGCTGAATAAAGCAGTAGTTTCCGATTATTTTAGTAAATTGAAGAAAATCTTAGTAGAAAATGACCTTATGAACAAACCGGAACGTATCTATAATATTGACGAAAAAGGTTGCCAGCTTAATTTGCACAAATCACCAGAAGTTTTGGCTGAACGTGGATCCAAGAGAGTACATTTGGTAGCACCCGAACACGGCGAGAATGTAACAATAGTTTCATGTGGCAACGCTTTAGGCCATGTCATTCCGCCCATGATACTCTTTAAGGGCAAACGAATGAAGCCAGAATGGGTAGATTCGTTACCCACCGATTCAGTAGCCCAAATGACACCCAAAGGGAGTATGAATTCTGAAACATTTGTGAACTGGACACACCATTTTGCAAAATTTAAATTGCCAGGACCTTGTTTACTTATCTTGGATGGAGCGAAGTGCCACTTAGACTATTCGATAGTTGAAGCAGCAGAACAATTCGACATCAAGCTTTTCTGTCTCCCGAGCAACACCACACATGAATTGCAGCCCATGGACAAATCAGTATTTCGTTCTTTTGAATATTACTGGGATGAAGAAGTTTTAAAATACTGGTCTATTCACGAGGACAGGAAAATAACCAAACAAAGGTTTGGGATATTATTTTCCAAAGTGTGGGATAAAGCTGCGACACCTGCTAATGTCAAAGCTGGATTTGAAGCGACCGGAATTTTCCCATTCAATCCAGATAGGATTCCAGAAGAAGTATACGCTCCCAGCATACCTACTCATAATTTCGCAGAACCTGGAGCTTCACCTTCTGAAAATCATGAAAATGGAGATACTAACGACAGCGACGCTACAAATCTGTTAATTCCTCCTCAGGAAAATGAAGATACTAATGAAAGCGACGTTACTGATGCCAGTGGAAATTCTCCTTATCCTCTCCCAAATGAAGACAAAGGTAATTCAAATCCATCAAATGATTCCTCAGATTCACAGCCAAGCCAAGCAAAGCGTTGTGCTGCAACTCCAGACAACGCCTCTGATGATCATCCACAGCACCCAAATCAAGAAGATATATCGAACTTTATAGAACCCCTGCCAAGTGTTTATGACGATTACGACAGTAGCGATCACATTCCTTTGTCCAAACTAAAGCAACATAACAATAATATCGAGTCAAAAACTGAATTAAATGTAGTCTGCTCCACAACACTTAATGAGTCATATACATCTTTGTGTCAAATGTTAAAAACTCCAGAGAAAACGTCAAGCCCAAAAACTGCTCCGAGGGCAAAAGCTATCAATAGTCTCGCACAGGCGCTAACAAAATCAATGTTTACAGATAAAAATAACATGTCAGGGCCATCAAATGCTCCTAAACAAAAAATAGAAAATATACCAGGCCCATTTAAAGTGGCTTACCAAAAAAGAAAATATTCTGCTAAAAGGAACAACAGTGAAGCAGTAACTTCGAAGAAGGTTTCTAAACAGTCACGTGGTAAAGGACAATCTGAAAAATCTAAAGATTCATGGTACTGTTATGTTTGCAATGAGGACAGAATAGCAGACATGAGAATATGCTTTTTATGTGAAACATATGTCCATGAGGACTGTGTTGGATTAACAAAAGAAGATACAGATAAATTTGTATGCACTCGGTGCAGTCTGGACTAACCACGACGATGATAATGTACTGGATGTCGCCTAAACAATATCTTTTAAATAAAGTTGTATTAAAATCTAATGTCCATTTTTATTTCACTTATTTAGAAGTTATTTAAAATAATATATACCGTAAATATGGCCACATATATGGGCATATTTACCTACCCCGTCGGAAATATGGCCAAATTTAATTTTTTTTTCAAACTGTTGAAAATATTTCTATCATTTAATATCTTTGTATTTTTATGCCTTCATCATAGAGTTAAATATTCAGTCTTCATGGACAACTACTTTGACTTGTTTCTTTTATCTTTATTATTTTAGAAAAAAGTTAAGAAACCTTAAGGTGGCCATATTCGACCTAGGTACCTTACGATGGATTTTCGAAATGTACAATAGATGCCATATAACATGAATATATTACAACAAACGGACACCCATAACAATGTTATCAAAATTATAGAAAACTATTTGCTCCTTCGACAAATACGTGGCAAAAACAATCATGCCAAAACAAAAATATACCACCAACGCTACGGAGTATCATAGGGATCTATCCTCGGACCTTACTTTTGAAGCATATAAGTTGTTGACCTGCCGGTAGAAAACATTGACAAACGATGTCACAATACGCAGATTATTTGTGCGCGCTAAATGAATCCAAACATCAACACACAGCCATCATGGGAGCAAAGTGGACAATTTCTCAATGCTTCCTCTCCAGTGGCGTGGGGATTAAAAAAAAGCAATACTGCATCATCAGCGCCTGATGTTTTTCCGTAGTCCTTTTCCTCGACTAAAACCGTAGCATCGCGCATTAAGTCAGATCGTAAACAAATAGATACAGCACGAGAGCATAACAGTTTTTATATCTTATCTGGAATACCAGCTGGCGCCAATTTGCCAGATTTATTTTCACTGCGCTTAAAAACCCTTTCCATTAAATGAAATCGCTGCATTACCTGATGGTGTGGCATGCACATAAAAAGATCGTTCCAGACAAACACATGGAATGGTTGGAGTTTCACAGATGTGTTAGTACAGGATTATTGGTACCAGTAGCGTTCAGTCTAGAGGAGGGAGGGTGGTAAAATTATCAATTCTTAAAATTGCAGATATTTATTTTCAATATACACATTCAGTAGTAGGTAAGCTCCAAGAACACTTCAAACGAGTCCCCCCACTACCAGCTGTGTGTGTGTGTGTGTGTGTACTACACTGAGGTCACCGATGAAGAAGTGAAATCAATCATATCCAACCTTCCAAACAAACAATCGTGTGGTAGTGACGGCTTAACTACTCGTCTTATAAATAAAATGTTTTAACTGGAACTGCCGGCCCTCTTACTACTTTCATCAACGTGCCTGACTATCAAGGCAAGTTGATAAATAATTACTGCCTCATGTTATTATTCTCAGTTTTTTTCTAAGATAACTAAGAAAGAGATTAATTCAATAATGTTGGGATATGTTGACAACAGAAATACCTACTTATTAATTTATATGTCTGATCTATAAACATCTTGATATGATTAAATGCATCATGGATATCTTCTTTGAACTATCAAAAGCTTTTGATACAATAGCCATTAGATTTTTTGAGAAAAAATATTTTCTTCAGGTGTAAGAGGATTGGGTAGTATTTTTCCTGTCTGACAGAAAATTCAAAGCAAAAGTCAATGGAATGACATCCGCAACGTACTGTATCGACATTGCAGCAACGCAAGGCTCAGTTTTGGCACCCCTTTTATTCATACTAAATATACGAGTATACTCGTATAAGTGATTTGCATCTCTCTGGATTTGTAGAAGACTATGCCGATGATGCCAGTTCTTGTCAGTGGAACTACACGCAGTGACCTGATTGCAAAAATTAATGAAGTGAAAGATTACATGAAAGAGTGGTGCTAAGCATCTCGTTTGATTTTAAACCTTGACAACTCTGATATTGTACATTCCTCTACAAGCGGCTCTGTTCTAGCGAATCATGAGACATCTGAAACTACGACATTCTTTTGAATACAGATGGATTCAAAACCCAATTGGCTTGGGTTGCATGGAACAGCAACTATGTTGAATGCCGCCTCCCTCATCAAATGAGTTTTTTTCCTTGTTATTCTTTTAACTAAAAAATAAAGACATACACACTATTTTATATATTATTATTATTATTATTATTATTATTATTATTATTATTATTATTATAACACACTGACAGTGTGTGTATTATGCAATTCTAAAGCTCAAGTTTTGCAGAATCAGCTTTACTAAATATGTATTTCTTATCTTGTCCACTCACATTTGACAAGTAACATTATAATCTGATGTCAATCAATTTGTAGAGAATTTGTTAAACAGAAGAGAATAATGAGATTGATATCCAAGTAAGAACATCATAACTCTACCAGGCATCATATTTATAACTGCGCCCTCTTCACGCATACAAATGAAACACAATTTGTACAGAACAAAATAAATAAATACTTATGTTTGTTTAGTTTTAGTTTTAATTATGTGTATCATATACCTCCTCTTCGGACGATTCTTACATCATTTTATACAAAGACTGCTGTCGCTCCCTTGGACAGCGCTAATGATTGGTTGCAGAATATTAAAATTATTTGTTAATGTTTTCTCTGCAAATCAAACTTGTTATAAAAATTTACATACAGGTATTCAGAATATCAAATCGACCTGAAACTTGATGCCGTTCAGAGAAGGTCTGACAGGGTTGATTGATGACACTTCCTTATCTTAACGATCTAATTTATACTACATAACCAATCTAACAGGAAGTGGAATGCGGGTAACTTCGACAACCCCCTGAATTATAGCTACGATCTTTCAGACAGAGATAACGTTAATAGGGGTTTTTAGTATCCCTTTACGCCAAACCAAAAAAACGTTGGATAACCACTCAAAATCACGTTGAAAAGAATCTTATTTGGCATACTCGTATGTACGTAGTCAAATAAGTTGACCCTGCACAACCCCCGCCTCGCTGTTTATAAAGGATTATGTTATATATATATATATATATATATACAGGGTGACTTCGAAGTTGAGTCATTTACTTTAACAGTGAGTATATCTGATCAAAAGAAATGTTTTTTCCTTTAACATTTTTCTGGTAAAGTTAAAGTAACAAAGTTATAGCCCTTTAGAAGTTTGAGTACCGCCCTGTCTCAATAATAATATTATGTGCTCGTGTTTGGCAACAACGGATATAATCCGCCTTATCGCTTCATCGCATAAAAAATAGCACATGTTTACGAAAATGCTCAACTTGTGGACATGATTCTTATTTACGGGAGGGGGGAGTCTTTACAAAATGCTGCCGCGGCATCGCAGATTTATGCGGATCGGTTTCCCAATCGAGTGCAACCAACCCCTCGTGCCTTTGTTAATGTAGTACAAAGGGCTCGTGAATCAGGTGACTTAAGACCTCACAGGGGAGGACATGCCAGATGCCGGTGCTCCAAGACCGCACGATCAAATACAGGTCCGCCCTGAAATACTTGTCGGGAGGATACTTTATAAAACCAGGTAATATTTTTTTGGATTTTTTTTTATTTTTACACACATATTTTGGTTTATCTTCCTTCTACAATCATTATCTGAAAATTAGTGACTCAACTTCAAAATCTGTATATATATTTATATCCATCCGACAGAAGACACAAATTGCAAACACAGTTTGGATGAGTAACCCTTGCCAACACATCGTACAGCTTGTGTCAGGTTTAGTTTCTATTTCTGTTGCGCTCGACGCGGGTATTTAATATGTACCGGGTGTTTCAAATTCGATGCTCACCACTGAGATCCCGGAAACTGTAAGAGATACGAAATCACTTAAATGGAGACAAGGTTGAGTATTTAGGTAATTAACTATTCGCTCTGCAGCCCCGTAGTTTCACCGTCACTGGACCGATTTCCGAAAACTACATTTCTTTAGCGGACAGCACGGGTAATACCCCGTATCTTGAAAAGTGACATTTTGTCGTTTTTTGAAATTTAGTAGGCATTTGTGACATAACGTAGGTTTTCTACAAGATGCTAACTTAGCACAAGCTGTTTGTTGTAAATTTGTTGTGAACGCTTTTTGTAGCTGTACGTGTTGCTTAAACGTCACCGAACAGCAATTATAGCGAGCAAACGTGGAATTAATATTTGCACACTAAAAACTACCTTATACAGGGTGACTTTGAAGTTGAGTCATTAATTTTCAGATAATGATTGTAGAAGGAAGATAAACCAAAATATGTGTGTAAAAATAAAAAAAATAAAAAAAAATTTTTACCTTGTTTTATAAAGTATCCTCCCGACAAGTATTTCAGTGCGGACCTGTATTTGATCGTGAAGTGCCCTGTGAGGTCTTAAGTCACCTGATTCACGAGCCCGTTGTACTACATTAATAAAGGCACGAGGGGTTGGTTGCACTCGATTGGGAAACCGATCCGCATAAACATGTGCCATTTTTTATTTCGTTTGAGCCACGCAACAGACACTATTCACACGCGACTGACACTGACTGTATGTATAACTGAACTGAATGAAATAAAAACATCGTTCCAAATTCTTTCGCTTTTTTGTTTCCGATGCGATGAACCGATAAGGTGGATTATATCCGTTGTTGCCAAACACGAGTACATGATATTATTATTGAGACAGGGCGGTACTCAAACTTCCAAAGGGCTATAACTTTGTTACTTTAATTTTACCAGAAAAATGGTAAAGGAAAAAAACATTTCTTTTGATCAGATCTACTCACTGTTAAAATAAATGACTCAACTTCGAAGTCACCCTGTATGTATAGTCTGCACGATGACGTTTCGTCGGTTTTTTTAACGTTAGATTTTTTACCCTTGCGGTCAGACAGTCAGACCGACGGAAATGGGTAACCTGGTTTTACGTGATGTACATGTCATACAATATACAAAAAACATATTATATCATTTTCGCCACCAATGGCGTAGGAAGTAAAGTGTCAGTTGGGAATGAAATATTTTTTCAAGTGGTCGAGTCTCAAAAGAAACTTGCAGCATGGCTGAAAAAGTACCAAATGCTACCCTCTTCTTTGTCCCACGCCTTCTCAATTCAGTGCTAGAAAATGCAAGCAATTCATCCTCGTCCTGTACCTTTCTATTTTTTGACATCAAGGGTCTTTCCTATCAAGAGTGGCGTTCGATGGGATGCATGTTATTTGTCAACTTGTGTCAACACCAAGAACGGCTAAGTGCTGGACCCAACCTTGCTTTTTAAGGAATTCTATCCATCTGACCTTCTTATTTCGTACATTTATTCACTGCTAGTAGATTCTTTGGATTATTTATACAACGTATTAGGACTAAGTGGAAGGAAAAAGTCAAGTGTTTGTTTGTCTTCTAATTCTCATCGTCTGCAGTGAGGGTCAAAGTGACATAAGCTAGTTTTTTGACAGTTCTGTCATTATATTAGTAGTTTTAGTGTTATTTTTTAAAAGTGCGGGTGTTTGCAGATAATCATATTGTTAGACGATTTCAAGACACCTTACTCCTTACGTAATTTGCAAAGAGCAGCACAAGAGTAATAAAGGTAGACGTTTACACCGGTATTATCATTATGTTGATCCAACGCTGTCACTTTATTGTAGGCATTGGTAGACAAATGAGTCAAAAGTATGCATAACAACGCAATTTTAGCGACAAACAATGCAATGCAAACATATAGACTTGGCTCCTTGTAATCTATTCGAACTTGTTGGTTCCTGCTGTCAAAAGTGTTAATTGCCAAAAGGTCTTTTTCGAGCTGAATACTTTTAGTTAGAGGGTGAAGATGTCATCTTATTCTTGTACAGCACCAAATGTTGGAATCAGCTTTATGGTCGACATGATGCAGGAAATCGGATTAGTAACGCTCAACGCTCAAGTCCTCTCACAAACACAGATGCTATCTGTCGCTGGATAGATCGGGACGGTGACATACGCAGATTACGGGGATACCTGCTTGACTACATATGTAGGTCATCGTCAAAATACCCCAGGGGTTAACACTCGCTGTTTTCTCCATAAAAGACTTCAAACATTTCAGCTTTATTACTTTAGAGCGAGAAAGTAGAAGAAACGCTCGATGAAGAGTCTAACAGTTTAATATTATAGTGCAGGGAAATTAATCAATAGTAGCGATATCCAACTTTGCTCCTGCTAGGTGGTTGAAGGTCAAACTCTCAAAAGTAGATGGGAAAAATGCAAATTGGATAAGAGGTTTACAATCGTAAAGATAACCGCTAACCTATTTAGATCCACCTACTTCTAGATTTCTAACTTACTATCCATTGTCAAGTCAAGTGTACCCACGTACAGAGCTTCTTAAAGAGGTTCTTCTAGTTTTTTTAACCAGTCAAGCTAACAAGCTGAAATTTGGCGTGACGAAATTGATGCATGAATACTATAATTTAACGTAAATGTGACAGAACATTTCAGGATGACAACTCTCAACTTTGACCACTCGCGGAGTATCAATAGAGTCTTGAAGACGCTCATCGTGAAATAATATCTCTCAATCAATCAATATGTTATTCCCAGGACTATTATAAATAGTATAGGAACAGTCACATAATAGCAAAACAGTTCACATTATATGTTGATAATAACATGCACTCAATAAGGCATGACAACATAGATATATTAAGGAACATATACATATATATATATATATATATATATATATATATATATATATATATATATATATAAAGGGAAAATAATCATGCGGAGAAATGTATATAACAAAAAAATAGAAAAATAATGGGCAAAATCCGCAAAAAGGAGGAAAGTGCATTCGAGCAGAAAATAGGATAGGTAACCAGAGCGATACGTATTTCTGCTGGATGGCTTCATCAGGCCCGAAATAAATGCACATATGCAACTACAAAAGTAGATACACATGCTCATACATCCGGATACGGGTGTAACCTGAGGAAATAAAGATGGATGGGAAAAAATCACACGAAGTCCACAACAAGAGCCAACCTACACATTGTAGTATAAAATAGCTAGAAGACCTCGAATTTTCAAGGCGACATCTAGCCACAACCACGCGACCGGTTGTAGCAACTTGCTGTGGTACTTCAAGCCCAAAGGATCTACAAAGAGAAAATAATCATGCGGAGAAATGTATATAACAAAAAAATAGGAAAATAATGGGCAAAATCAGCAAAAAAGGAAGCTCATTTTGCCGGCGGCCAGTAATTTTACACACCTATCAGTACATATTTTAAGCATCAAATATTTCCCAAAACATTTCTCCTCATAAATTACTAGACGAGAAACGCGGTTTGTCGGGACGATGCGATGCAACGGCGACTTTCACACGCTGAACCCCACTTTGCGTCTGACAGCATCGCCGACAGGGATGTTATAGTGGGTGGCGCTGACGTGGTTTTGAGTGGTGTAGTCCAGCAGCGTTGCAAATGGATGGGGACTATAGAGTATATATGTACTAATGTAGTACATACTACGCGCCCATATACTAGTATAGCTCAAAGGAACTAACTTGGGATGAACATCAAATATTGGTTGGTATGCTTAAATCTACGTTCTCACGGAGCAAAAAGATGACAGCGAGGCACACCTTCGATTTTGCTTTCGTGAGTGGGGAGTGAAACGTGAACTAGCGAGGGTCGTGGACTGTTCACATAGTCACGATTCAGTTCATTCCTTGATGCCATCCATGAAGGAATTTCTGATTTAGAGTTGTGCAGTAAGGAGTGCAGTTTTGAGTGTTATGTTAGAGAAAAGGTTAATGGAGCCTCGCGAAGAGTTAAAAAATTGGAAGAAAAGGTATTGTTTGGTCATCACCGTGTATTAATTACCATATGACTGTTCGTTAGTGAAGAGTCATCGATTAGTCGGACTGTTCTCCTCTGAACCGTTTCGAGAATGTATAATGTAGTCGGGACGGCAGCACTCTAAGTATGTGAGCAGTACTCGAGGCTGGGTATTTTGTGAGCGAGAAGGTTATGTAGAGAAAAGTACTTCTTAACCGCCAAACAAATAGCCTAGCTTTTTCTCAGCAGCTGCCGAGATTGATGGCTCTATGGTAGAACTCGGCCATCCATCAAAACCGGATTCAGATTCAGATTGAACTTTATTTTACACTTGACTGTACAACAGTGTAGGAAATTGTCAAACAAAAAAAAAAGGAATACAAAACTATAAAACAGCAAAAGCACATAAGAACAAAGAAGAGGCATAAAATGAGATGCTCAAAACAGTCATAGTGAAAACAGAACATGTTTGTAATTTGAGCTGAAAAAAATCGTCAAGGGTATCTATAATTCGAGTGAGAAACCAAAAAATCTTCAAGACATCTCGCGAAAAGTTGGATTGTCGAATTGTCTCTAACTGAAGTTGGTAGGTGATTATAAACCCTGACACCTAGCCTTGCTAGAGGGATATGTAGTTTATCTTTATATCTTATATTGCTAAGATGAGTATCATAGTTTTTTTGATTTCATTCTATTTTTATAGATGGAAATACTGATTTCATAAATATAGAGGCAGTCAAGAGTAAGACTGTTGAGGTTCTTAGACACAACCCTACACGATGTTGTGTTTGAGATACCAGGAATAACCCTAATATTCTTTTTTTGTGAGTTAAATACTGAGTTTACACAGGTCGGTGTACCGGATTTCATACCTTAGTCTGCTATTAACTAAGGTGAATGAGTTGACTGCTAGCAAATAGAGTTTTCAAGTGACGAAATATATAGACATAAGAGTTTAAAGTATTCAAAAGGAAGCCCAAGTAATTTAATAGCTTTATTTTTTGCTTTTGGTATTTATGGTTGAGCGCTTCTTGTTAATAAAAGAAAAGTATTGTGTTTTGGGAGCATTAAATTTTACCAAAATGTTGCGTCCCCAAACACTGATAATCTCCAATTCTTTAGTTTCTACTAATCTTCTTCTCTCCAGCTCACCGATAAAAATCGGCTTAGAACTATCAATTTCTGCATATAGAGTATAGAGAATAGTGGTCATCTGTTATAAACCATACGTTATACCAAACAACATTTTCATAATTGCTCAGCTCTCAGCTAAACTCCCTGTTGATTCGGCTGTTGTAGCAGTTCTTCGAATTGCGTGGTTAATATAATCGCCATCGAACAACACGCCGGCAATAACATGTTATCGTCTCTCAATATTTTGCTTGTAATTTCAGTGTTTTCAAGCCTGGAAAACACACTGCATCAATTAATTTTAGCTAAAATGATTCTGGTACCGTAATACGCCTGGCAGGTATGTGATAATATTGGATAACGCCAGAGCTTTGGGATAAACTCGATTTTAGATTGACTGGCCAACAATACAAAATTATATCTGTAACCCTCATTCTAGGTAGTCAAATCTCACTAAATTTGGGTCGAGAAAAACAAATACTGCTATGAAATATTTCAAGAGCTCTTATTTTTAAGATACACAGCAGCTCACATCGATTTAAAGATAAATCGAAGATCATGTGTAATTTTCAATAAAGTAAAATGAAAAATATTTTACAAAGAAAAAATAATGTATAATAAAGTAATAATATACAATAGTCTATTCGTATCGACGTTTTCTACTGACTATTTGTACTTCGAATCAGGAGCATCTCTTGCAAGAATGCAGTAGTAGTCGGCGAATACTGATGGTGTTCACTATGCTCATCACGTAGAGCTCAACAGTTTTTAGAGAAAAAATCAAGATGAGAGTAGATGAAATGCATTTTTAGAGACCTCGGAAAGGACTGTAACTTATGGTGTGCCCCAAGGAACAGTTTTAATCTCTTAATTAAATTTAAATTAAATAATTTACTGAGTAAGTCAACACCATACTTAGCAAGTCGCAAGGCACAATAACATGCTCTGCAGATGATACAGCAATTCTTTATTCTGATAACAATTCCTGGGATAGACTCAAAGAAATTGTTGAAAATGGTCTAATATTAATTGCCGATTGGTTTAGGCACAAATATTTAACAATCAATTTTCAGAAAACCATGTAACATTGTATCTTTACAAATCAAATGTGATAATACCAATACTGTCACACATTCATCTGATAAAACAAAATATTTAATATTTACGTGTCTATTTGGATGTAGTGACTAATTTAAGACGATTATTATTTAAGATCACCTACCTCAGTAAAAATTTATTGGATGTCGCCTCAGTTATGCCTTACTAGCTTGCCGTGGTGCACCTACCAAAAAAAATTATCAGTTCACCTGATGACGATTGAAAATCACATCAATCGAAACGTCGTGAAAGACAAACTTTATAGGCAATCGAAGTCCGAGAAACACCATTACTACATACTTACCTAAACACATTTTCCAGATAATTTTGGAACCCATAGACTGATTTGAATGAAATTTGGAGCACATGTTTTTGTTTTGCTAGAAGTTCTTACATTTGACTTTCACGAAAAACGGTTCTATAAGGGTGAAAACTACTCTCACCCTACATGAATTACAGCAGAATATTTTCGCAACTTTTCCAACGACTCTAATTTTTTTTATTTTAAAGATCCTTTTATTTACTTCATTTTTTGTCTTTCCTTATTTCATCAAGGGTTAAAATCTAGTAGGCATCTAGTTGGCGCAAATGTGGGAAGTTTTAGCAGAGTCAGATTATTTTTGACAACAAGCTGCAAACATTTTAAATTAATAAGTAATGTTTGAGTTTATTTTAAATGTTAATTTGTTGTTTGTTCTTCATAAATTTTAAATTAATTAACGTTTCATATTATTTTTGCTCAAGTTATTGTTACTTGTTTTTCTCGTGAATATGGAATATTCTATTGACGAACAGACTGATATGTTGTTAGTACTGACAAAGTCTGATGAAATTAAAGGGAGCCTATCTATCTTCATTTCCTAAAATACGTTTTCCCTGAATGTAAGAAGAGACATATTTTTATTAAATTATGGTGCTTCACATCAATTTGCGCGTGTTGTAACAAATAACTTGAACGAGAAACTTGATGGTAGGTGGCTTGGTAGTGGTTTTGCTATTTTTTTATATGGAGAGCATTAAAAGCAAAAATTCAGATAGACAACGCCAATCAACTGTGGGGTATGATTGAAAATGCTGCAAATGCATTAAAGAATAATGACATATTAGAGAAAGTTGACTATAATTTTTTGCGCCTTATTGTTATGTGCAGGAACAAAAATGGTGGGCAAATTAAACAACTTTTATGAAAGATTCGCACTATTGCATGTATCCAATAAAACTGTAATAAGAAATATCATATTAGTTTATTTTCGCTAGATACACTTAAATATACTCAGCGACATTAGACGTGTTACACCCAGAAAAAATAATTTCTTCAACTTGAATTTTTGACAATGAGGTACTCTTACATCAAGAATGAAACGATAACATTCTCATGAAATTTTATTGACAAGTAATCAGAAAAACATTAATAACGTGTTGGGCGATTCCGCAGCTGAATACACTCCTGTATACGTCCAGGCATCGGCAAAATGAGATGATCTATGTCTAGTTGTGGCACCTCATTCCAAGCAACTCGAACTTCATGGGTTAGCTGCGGTAGAGTCTATGGAGGATGGTGCAAAGTGGTTAGTCTCCTTCCCATCATATCCTACACATGTTCGATGGGACATAAATCCGGTGAACGGGGTGGCCACTGCAAAACATGCTTCTTGAAGGAAGTCCGTAGTACAACGAGAAATATGGGGACGTGTGGTATCTTGCTGAAAAAAGACGTGAGGACGGCCCTCTAGATACGGCAGTAAAGTGGTTTGTAGGACATCATCAACATAACGTGCACCAGTTATATTGCCTGTCGGTGGACCAGTTGGCCTTCTTCGTGTTCCTATACCTTCTCCTATCCACACACGATACACACGCATTACCGTCAATGCAGTACAATTAACACGGCGGTCAATTCCGCGATAACACAAACTACAATCTCGATAGGCAATAATTTTACCCCTGTCAAAGTCGCTAACATGGTGATAATCTGGACGTCTTCGAACTCGAGGCATTTTGTTATGTTTAACACTAGTAAATGAAAGGGCAATAATGAAAAATATCTGTACTACTCAGCTCTCAGAAACTACTTTCTTCGCAAAAACTACAAATGTAAACAAAAACAAAGATAAAACGTTGACATTGTTGCGACAGCTTGCTTTAAATATAATCATTATGTTGCCAAAAAAACAAGTTGAAGGAATAATTTTTTCTGGGTGTAACATTTCAAATGTCACCGAGTATAATTAATAAGACGTTCGGGAACCTCTAGATGCAACTCATTTTTATTTTCTCGAAAACCATCCGAGATAGCAGACAAAAAATGAAGTAAACAAAAATATCTGCTAAATAAAAAAAATCAGATTCATCGGGAAAAAATTCTGCTATGATTTATGTAGGGGTGAGGGTAGCTTTCACCCTTCTCGAACCCTTTACAGAGTTTTTCGTAAAAGTTAAATATTAGAACGTCTAGCAAAACATATATGTGTTCCAAATTTCAATCAAATCAGACTATAGGTTCTAAAAATATCTTAAAAATGTGCTTTGAACAAGGTCGCCCTGTTCCTGAAGAAATATATTTGATAAATCTCTTGTTGCTCGTTCGTTACAAGTCAATACACATCGTGCGTTCTCACAATAATTAGGACAGTGACATCCATGCATTTTCCCCTTACTAATAGATTTTCTTATGCCCCATGTGTTTTCTACACTTTAAAGGCGCAGCTCCCAAGAGTCCCGTCGAAACTTCGACAATTTCACCTTTTTCGTATTTCTGTTTGTATTTATTGTTTAGGTGATTTGCGAGCGGTAACAGTCTCATATCAACTGCGCACAACTTACCAATCCCTTTTCCAGTTTTCTACCGGAATTTCCACTTGCGAAATAAACTGCCAGCAGGGGCTAGAGTTAAGATTAAGAATCTAGTGCGCTATTTTACTGCCGAGTCCAGTTTTTCTTTCGCTTGGAAAACTTTATTTTTACGGCCATCATTGTAAACGATCAATAACATTACGACTGTACGGAGTACACAGATGAATAGAATAGGAGATGGTGGTGACAAGATCAACTTGCTCTTATTTATTTTATACAGCTTGGTGTGATATTTCTGAATATTTCTGTGAATGTACAATCTAAAGTGTTTTACTCATTCAAATATAATTCGCGTACATTGTGGTTATGATATCTGCGGCACCCCTCTACGTATTGTTAATTTCCCATTAAAGTAAAACCTTTGTTTTCTGTTATTACGGTTACAACAGAATTCTTATTAAACAGAGTAATATAATTTCAAATGTCACTGTCTAAAGATGTCTAAAAATGTTGAGTGTTGTGTGACGTTAATTCAGAGAAATAAGATATTCGAATAAGGAAAAAAAAAACATAAAAACCAAGAGAGGCGTCATCGATCTATTCTGCTAATCAATATGCACCACTAATTGTCTTTTTTGTATACAGCGTGACCCAATCTTCTGTGGACATAGAAGTGACACGTATGTTTACACTGAAGATAAGTCGATTGGACATGATTTACTTCTATGCAAGAGAGATTTGTCTGTCTGTTAGAGGGCGTCAAAGTTTTCTTTTTGAATTACATTTTCACAATATTTATCGTTCGATTTGAATAAAATTTAGAACACATGTTTTGCTAGAAGTTCTAATATTTGACTTTCACGATAACACGTTCGAGAGTTCGAGATGGGTGAAAAAATATGACCACTCCAGCGATGAATTTCGAACCTCCAGTCCTTCCAGTGCACTCATGGAGTCGGACAGAATAAGTATATTCCTTGTTGCGGTTGCCTCTGCGATGCTTAGCGCTAATTTGGTAGCAGTTAGTTCTCCGGTAAAGATGCTGCTGTGATGAGGAAGAGATGCTGTATTCTTGCTGTTTTCTTGAATTGCTGCATATCCCGCTCCAATTCGCCACTTCGAAGCATCGGTAAAGATTAGCATATGTTTTTTGTAGTGTTCAATTACTTCTCTGTATTTATTTTGGATGAATATAAAATTGGTTTCTCTTTTGGTGTAACAGTTCAATGATATATTAATATAGGGTAGGCGCATTGTCCATGGGGGAGAATATAACAAATATGAGTACGTGTGCTGAAGATTGTTTAGGTTGAAGTTGGTGCGAATAATACGCTCTCATATTGGGCAGTCTCTGGAAGAACACTTGACAGTAATGTGGTGAGCAGGATCATCATGGTAGGCACAGCGTAGAGCAAGAGAGCAAGGTATTCTCTTCGAAGGTGTAACGGGGGCTCATTAGCTAGGACATGGATGCTTTCCACCGGTGAAGTTCTTAGTAAGCCATATGCCAGTCGTATTGCCTTGTGTTGTAAAACTTCAAGTTTTTTTTAGAGAACTTTTACTTGCAGTTGTATAGCATATACTCCCATAGTCGATTTTGATTATTAATATAGCGCGATACACTCTCATTAGTGATAAGAAGTCACTTCCCCTAAAAGTATTTGCTAAGACTTTAATAAGATTAAAACTTTTTTGACACGATAATATTAATTTTTTCATATGTAGATCCCACTTCAGTTTCGAATCAAGTGTCATCCCAAGAAAAACTATACTGTCAACTTTATGAATTCTGGTGCTGTTCAGAGAGAGTACCATATTGTCAGTGGTGCGTCTAGATTTGCTAAATATAAGGTATTTGGTAACTTATCGCTGGAGAAACGAAAACCTGTTGTAGCTGCCCATCTCTCCATTTTATTGATTGATTGTTGTATGATGCTTTATCCTGTGGGTAGGTTATTCGTTGGTAAGTATATAACTAAGTGATCTGCGTACATTAGTGCCATTACTTTTGTCTTAAATAGTTCAATTAATCCCTTGATCGTTATTAAAAAAGTGTGACGCTTAACACGGATCCCTGCGGTATTCCATTTGCTAATGTTCTTTCGTTGGACATCTTTCCGTTGGCTCTCACCGTCGTAGTGCGGTTACTCAGAAAGTTTTGTACGAAACCTAAGAGATGCCCTTTGATTCCCATCTCAATCGCGGATTTTATGATAAGATATCGCCAGGTGGTGTCGTAAGCTTTGTCTATATCGGAGAATACAGCTATAACATTTTGGTTGTTTGCGAATGCTTGCATGATGGTGGGTTCCTGTACTACAGTGTTATCTGTCGTAGACCTCTTGCTTCGGAAACCATTTTGTAAGTTGTTAATTTGTTTGTGTTTTTATAAAAACCGTAATACGCGTTTATTGAGAGTTTTGTCCATCAGCTTGCACATAGAACATGTCAGCGATATCAACCTATACGAAGCAGGGTTATCTTGAGACTTATTTGGCTTTAGGATGGGGATAGCAATGGCTGTCCTCCAAACTTCAGGGAATTGTCGGGTCACCAGAATCTTATTGTACATGTCTATCAAGATTGATTATTAGTGATTCTTCCAGTTCTTCTATTGCAATAAGGATGTTTATTGGACTGTTATCGTTCAGTATGGTAATAGTATCTCCTTCAATATGTGACTTGTACTGGAGAAAACAAGGGCTGTACTCGTAGTTGATTTCGCTAGAGTGTGCTGAGTAGACGCCAGCAAAGATTTCTGGGATAGCTGATTTGTCAGATACAACTTGGTTGTCGTATTTTATAGAGGTTATATCGTAGCTTGTCTTTGATCCACTGATGCTCTTGATTTTATTCCGAGGTTTGCGATGCAGGTGTAGACGAGTTATTAGCGGACACGTAGCTTCGTCAGGATTCTTTCTTGCTTTTCTTGATATGATATCTGGATTTTGCTCTAGCTTGTTTAAATTTTCGCAGATTTTCGGCTGTGTTATGCTTCTTGAGGACATCGAAACAATGTTTGCAGGTGGCTATTGCATTAGAGACTTATTGATTCCACGATGGTACTGGTTGCATGTTACAGGTTTTCGTTTTTCCGACGGCAATGTGGGCGGCATCTTTTATAACGTCAATCAGGTTGTTGATCTCGATATTGATGTCTTCACAGCTGGGAAGTAATAGTAAGCGTTGTTCAACATGCTGCTGGTATTTATCCCAGTCAGCTTTATTCAACTTCCATCTTTGTGTAGTAGATGCACAAGAAGCATTATCTTTACTATGGCTAATAGTTATAGGATAGTGATCACTATCATAGAGGTCAGATAGGGGGTTCCAGTGGAGAAAAGGGGCTAGAGAAGGGTCACAGAAAGATAAATCAATGGACGAGAATTTCCCATTGAACGTAGTGCTGCGACGATCATTTAGTTGTATGAGACCATTGTTGTCAAATATGTTTTCTAGCTCCATGCCGTATCTTTCAGAGAAGTCTGTTCCCCAGCATATATTATGATAATTACAATCTCCTATTATGATTCTGGGCGTGGGAATTTGTAGCAGCAAAGACTCTATTGCGATAAAGTTTATACCTTTTGGGTGTGGTATGTACGAGTATATATTGTAGATATGTATGGTTGTGTAGCATGTGATCGAAATGGCAACAGCTTCCATATCTGTAGTAATGGGGAGTCTTTTTGCTTGTATAGAGTTTTTGGTGAATATTGATACTCCTCCTGCTGCTCTATCCTGATTTGGTCTATTTTTGTAAAAGCTAGAGTATTTTTGAATGTGTGGCTGTGATTATCATTCTTGAGGTGGGTTTCTTGCAAACAGATTACATATGGGTTATTTTCACGTATTAGCAAGTCGAGCATTTCTTTATGGGTTTAGTACCCGTTCAGGTTCCACTGAATTAGAAACATGAAAAAATCTAGTATGTTGAAAAAGAGACTCCCGAGACTTCGCCATCGGATGATTCTAGATCCTTTTCTTCACTGTTTTTTGATGATAAGTTTTATAGATGTTTAGCTATTTTGTTTCTGATTTTTGTAATTTTTATTTTTGTGCTCCTATTCTTTAAATGTGAGTATAGTTCAGCAAAAAATTGGTTCATATCCGGTATGTTATTTGTGTAGTTGCTAAACGTTGTTGTTATATCTTTGTCCGCTACCTCTGATACGTTTAGCTTGGTTGACGTAAACCGTGAGTTTATGAGTTCCTCGGCGGGTTTCAAGGATTCTTCAGAAACTTTTGATGTTTTGATTCTCTTGGTGGGGGCTTCACTTGATGTAGGCTGGGTGTTAGTAGATATCTGGGATGTTGAGATTTGTGGTTCGGGTCGAGTTTCTTCTGATGCAGAGTTGTCTTGTATGGTTGCAGTCATGTTTAAGCTCAGTGTATTAGTTTTGTTATGTACATTAGGTGAGTCTAATTTCATTCTTGTTTCGGTATCTTCATTTCTGGGTTGCGATTTGGGACATTTTTCCAATGTATGTCCCGTTTGCTTGCAAAGAGTACAGCTTAGTCCGTCTACGGAGAAAAATATCCAGTATGTTGTTTCCTCAAAGGTAATAGTGGTAGACTCTACGGGTGGTGCAATATACACTTGTCGACGGAAAGTGAGAATGTGATTGTATTCATTTTCCGGCATTCCCACTCGGAGGTAAGTTATGCGGGAGAGTAGCTTCAGGCCCATAGTTGTTAGTAAACTTTCAATAATGTTGTATGGAACAGACGGGCAGACAACAAGTCGTCTTATTTCTATGTCGTGGTCTTGGATCTTTATGGATTTGTGTGCAGTGATTATTTTGTACACGCTATCAGTGTTACTCAGATACATGCAGATTCGGCCGTTAGCAATTCTTGATGCGAACAGTATATTTTTGGGCTCTACAATCGAGCCATTAGCAATAATATAATCATGGATTTGTATCCCATCTACTGCCGTTAGGAGAATCGTTTGGTTTTTTGATGGTGTTTTGCTGACAGGCTGTTGTAGGAGTGCACTAGAGTATGATGATGAAGTAGTTGTACTGTTTCTATTATTATCAGGTTGAGTCATGTTGAGATAGTTTTAGTACGAGACTGGTTGAGAAATTCTGGAGCCGGCTCTGGCGGTACTGCTCGAACTCCGCGTGGATCTAGGTGCAGTACGACTGACCGTACCGCACTGGTGTTTGTTTACGTTTCGCGATATCTCTTGCAGTAATGTAAGGACTTCCACTTACTTGCTGGTTTTTGGTGACCGACCTCTTGGTGAGTGTTGGATTGGTGAGTGAACTTTTTAGTAAATAAATCGAACTAATAATTCTTACACATGAAAGAAACTCGCAGAGTACTATCGATACTACTTTCAAGTTAGACAGTCAGGACCGTCCTGATAGTTTGCTTTATTTTTGCTGTTTGTATTAATTACAACTATTATTAATCTGTAAATGCTATGTTGTCCTTTTAGAATAGTACTATTTACGGGGGTTGCATGGAACAGCAACGGTGCTGAATGTCGCCTCCCTCATCAAGTGAGTTTCTTTTTGTTTGTACTTTTAATCCAAAAAATAAAGTCACACTATTATTATTATTAATAATATTATTATTATTATAATGTTGAATCCTGAAAATGTGTTTCTGAAACTGCATGCGGATTTTCTTCAGCGTAACCATATTGTGTATTACGTGGGGTAAAACATGACATCTGTAAACAATATTTTCTACACTCGGATACATTTTGTACATCTCAAACGCGAGTGATATCCAGTAGGCAATAATGTCTGAACAGGCTGAATGTGAAAAGAGCGAATGAGTTGTTCATTTAAAATCCTGTTAACAGTGCTTTTCTGAACTCTTTGTTCATGATCTAATAGGTATGCGAGTGCTGATACCTGGATCATTTCGACCACTTCAAGAACAGCCTCTTCCACTAGCAGTGTTCAGGTTTGCTGCAGTTTTCCAGCGTTGACTATTAGAAGCTGGAATCAACCAGTTTCTCGAAGTCGGAGTTCTATGCTTGCAAAAATCTGACGATATGGAATTCGTCGAATCGGATATTTCTCTTGATACACGTGAACATCTTCTCAGAAACTAAGCACTAAGAACATATCAGTCTGTTTGTTAAAAGAATATTCCATATTTACCAGAAAAAACAAGCAACGACAACAAATTAACAATCAAAAATAAACTCAAACATTACTTATTAATTTGAACTTGTCAAAAATAATCTGACGCTGATACAGTATCCCACATTTATGTCAACTACTCGTAGATGCTTACTTAATGTAATAAGAAAGTTTTGTAGGAAGCAGCTCCGAAAAACATTTTTTACTGTTTTTATAAGAGACCAAAAATTAAGTAAATAAAAGGATCTTTCAAATAAAAAAAAATCAGAGTCGTTGGGAGAGTTGTGAAAAAATTCTGATATAATAATATTTATGTAGGGGTGGGGATAGTTTTCACCCTTCTCGAATCCTTTCAATTTTTTTTTATGTATAAGTCAAATATTACGAATAAACAAAGCACTTTTAAAATAAAAGTATCCAATCTAATTATTCTGAGTCTAAAAATACGTGGTATTGGTATGTCCACGGAATATTGGGATACCCTGTATAGCCAAACATTTAAGTATTCAGCCTAAAATGTATTGACTGTAATAAAATAACATCTTTTTTGCGGGTATTTCATTGGAATACCACTGAACTGTAGCAGTGAAAATATTTATGTATTCAAGCCTGAAACGTTCTAAGCAATTAGGTGGGCGCGTTTCCAATTCAAATCAAATTTCTGTTTGTACAAGATCTGTAGTGGAAATCGATAATAGCCTGATTGTAAGCCATGAAAAAGGTCGGAAAACAACGGTTGAAGCGTGATCATCATCAAATGCCCGAGTTTATAGGGGAAATGTTTTTATCAAAGAGTTTTGAGCTTAATATGTGCACAGCTGCTGTATCGACGAGTTTTTCTTTGATTTCGATGAAACCAATTAAGCCGTTTAAAGAAACTGGGCCATGAAAGGATGTATGTTTCGTGTTTTTATCGATATTTACCTTTGTCGCCATAGATTGTGCCAACTTTGTCACCCAATTATACCTTTGCAAGCACGCAGAACCTACATTTTGGAGTATCATGAGGGAGTCAGCAGGATGCAACTCCTAGCTGCCCCAATATTGGCGAGAGTCAAGGTGCCCCGCCAGACCGAGATTGTCTACTCGACAAGGATGCCTTCATCAGCCAACTGTTGGAGAACAACAAAAAGCAGCAGAAAACGATAGCAGCGCGTTCGAAGCTTATTGAAAAGATAGACGACTGAAGAAGAGTGAATCGAAAAAGAAACGTCAACATGACAGCGACAGCGAAAGTTCCACAGTTAACGAAATGGAAATAGCAAACATGCAAGAAAATAGCTTTTGGGTCAATTTCACCAACATTAATATTATGGACCAATGGGAAAATACCTTATCGAAATGCAATTTGACGAAAGCTGTCAAAGGTCTCTGAATATTAGTGATTTCTATTGAAATATTGAATAAAATCGTGAACATTCGACTGTATTATAAACAAGACCACTTTTTGATTCCAACATGATGCTTTTGTACAGAAAAAAACAGGACAACTTTCATGTATTTTGATATATGTTATAGGTTTACATTTAACAATCCGTTATCCCCCTCAGCGAATGGGAATGCGGCAAATAATAGGTCGATTTTCTAGCTGTTAAATTTGGCAGCAGATTTGGACGTTTGTTAATGCATGGCACTCTTGAATTTACCACCTTCAATATACTGAAAGTTATCATTACATACCTGTTGAATAGTGTGCATTTGTCTGTATTTTGCAAGAAAATAGAATATAAAATACATTCCATCCAATTCCTCATCTTCCTTTATGACATAATATTATTAATTTATGGGATAATGAATTTCTTCAAAGCAATAAAAACATTATGTCCTGTCCATCCTAAAACACATATAACATGTGTAAGACGTGTCAATCCCTACATCTCCCTGATGCATAATGCAAGTACTATGGACATAGACAAAAAATTATGATGAATGTTTCACAGATAATGGCTGTTAAGTTCAAAAATCAAAAAAACTAGTAATGTTTACTGTTTGTCTATTTTTTTTTTGACTGGTGGGGATATCAATCTGACACTCGCAGGGTTGCCAAGTCTAACGACGATCAGGTGCCGTGGTGGAGGGTGCGAAATGAATCTTTTACATTTGGTGGTTTTGAATTTTTTTCGTGAAAATTTACTAGGTATCATGATTATAAGCATCATTGGTAGATTGTTCGATCCGGAATGGGAAAGATCTCCTATTTATGAAAATATTTTTGGTATCATCTAACTGTTGCAATCAGTGCACAAACACTGTGACATATGATTTATAGCATAACCCGCTGCCCTATCAATACAAATTTAACATACAGGTCGCCTAACCGTGGGGATGCAGTGGTCGGGATGAATATCACGGCAGCAACTGATGATTTGGGCATGTCTGGTAACAACGTATGAAGTGAAACTTGCTAACTTCACAAATTTGAAGATTTTGTACAATTTCTTTGAAAATGATGAAAGATATGTCTGATTTGGCAGGGTAATGTCGCAGCCAAATGGCAGTCACTCTTTCTGACAACGTCCGGATCGAAAGATGACGATACTCGTGGAATGTATTGATACTTCTAAATATAGGATCCTATCGAACATCCCTACTGTCAAGATGTATAACCCAAGGTACCGACGGAGCTATTTTGCGGCGTCATGGAAATAATTTTAAATTTTCATTTGCATTTTTTCGAGTGTGTGCAATGATTTTGGGAAAAATGTCACGAATAGTCTTATAAAGCATAGTAGAGTATATTTCAACAGTTGGCAGAACTTACTCCACTGGGACCAGGAGGGTGAAACGGGATATTAATGCAGAATCTGACAACCCTATCGCACCCTCACAAAATGGCCGCTGATAACCACACAAGTCACCGTGTTGTCATTGAATAGCATGGAATTAAACCTTCAGAGTATGTTTTGTGACTTGTACCAAAAGTTGACAGAGCCCACACATGTGTCACTCCTTGAAATGCAATAATCAGCTGTATTCAAATAACGTCTAATATAAATATAACCCAGAATATCTACTCAGTGAAAAAAGAAAAATATTTATTTATTTATTTATACATTATTGCCCAATAGAACTATTCCAATTAAAGGACAATATCATGGTAACTTTACTTATAATTCATACATGTAATGTATACCTAAAACTAATTTAAAAAATAGAACTAGCTATTATAATAGTACCTGAAATTCGACACGATCTTACTGATACAATCAAAATTTATGTCAGAACTGTCTGCTGTGGAATTATAATTGTTGCATATAGAATGTAGCGGAGAATAAAATAATAAATTTGTACGGGAGGTACTGCAGTAGAAAGTTAGAGTTCTTCTCGTATTTAACCGTGGAATATAGAAATTTAACCTCTGGAGAAGTTCTGGTGCATCCACTCTGTCGTGCAAAAGCTTATGAAGGAATGATAGGCCAGCAGTGGAACGTCTTAACTGTAGAGACTCTAGTTCAAAACGACGCAGCAGAACAAATTGAGAGACCCCCCTTTCTGGATATGTGCCATCGATTTTATAAATACAGAATTTAAGAAATTTCCTCTGCACATTTTCTAAGATGCTTATATAATACGCATAGAAAGGGTTCCATATCAAACAGGCATACCCAAGTTTTGGTCGCACCAGTGAAATAAAAAGCTTTTAGTGCCGCTTCGTTGGAAAAAGATCGGCAGTTGCGCATTATGAAAATCAGAATCCGTGTCGCTTCGGAAGTGACGCGTGCTACATGGACAGAAAAGTCCAATCTACAGGAAAATGTTACACCAAGATCTTTAGTCTCTGTTGTTCTATCCAAAACCGCATTATTGGAGTAATCAAACATAATCGGGTTCATTTTACGACAATATGAACATACTTTACATTTGGAAATATTTAAGAAGAGAATATTATTGTCGCACCACTGTCTGATGGTATGCAGATCGTCCTGAAGGGAAATACAGCTCTCCGAATTTGTAATTCTGGTGTAGATTTTCAGATCATCAGCAAATAGTAGGCATAGGTTATTTATGAAGAATAAAAACAGCAAGGACCTAGGTTTGAACCTTGCGGTACTCCTGAGGGAACAGTATAATTTGCTGAAGAATAACCATTATAGTAAACATATTGCGTCCTATTAGAAAGATATGAGCGTAAAAGACCGACTAACGAGTCACTAAGGCCGAAATGATGAAGGCTATCCACAAGAAGATGATGGTTTAATTTATCGAAAGCCTTGCTGAAATCCATGTAAATAACATCGACTTGTTGTTTCTTGTCTAACGATTCTGCTATATACTGCGTAATTGTCATTAAATTTGACGTAGTGGATCTACCTTTGATGATACCATGTTGTGATGGAGTAATTAGGCTTTTAACGTTCTCGAAGATAAAAGAGTAAATGGCCATTTCAAAAGCCTTTGCAAAGTTGTTCAAAATGCTTATAGCTCTATAGTTGAGTACATCAGATTTAACACCATCTTTCAGGACCGGACACACCTTAGCTATCTTCCAAATATCAGGGAAAATTCCACTCTTTAATATAGCATTGAAAATTATCAGCATCGGCTTGACGAAAACATGAGCACAATCTTTAATAATAAAACTAGGTATTTGATCTCTACCAGACGTAAGTTTATTTTGAAGCTTAGAGAGAGACTTCAGTACATCAGCTTCCGTTAATTCCTCTAGATAAATACATGGTGTTGAAGTGACACTATCTAAAGAAGAGGGAATATTTCGAGGAGTAACATACACACTCTTAAAATAGTCGGCAAATGCATCAATAACACCTTGTGGAGTATTGAATACGTTGCCGTTGAACTGGACTTGGCCTGGTATTCTGCTACAGTCTCTCTTATTCCGAATGTATGACCAGAACTTCTTCGGGTCGTTGATTATACTGTCCTCAACCGACGACAAGTACTCACTGTAAGCAACTTTAACTCGCCCCTTTATGATTCTGCGCAATCTAGAAAATTCATTTTAATGGTAAACATTGCTTGTTCTCTTATATTTTCTGTAGTAATAATCCTTCAAATTTATGAATATTGAAAATATCTACTTTTCTGCAGGTTTTAGGTTTGCTGGTAGCTCTACGACATATATTTGGGTATTTCTTAATCGCTAATATGGTGTGGATGTTTGTTAAGTTCCCGAACAACGAAACATATTCAACTTTATGGGTGTATGGATATTAAATAACCAGAATGGTTTTGTGGGAATATCAATCTAAGGTGCCATAATGATTCTGATGAACGGTAAGTGAATGAATGAATGTTTGGAAACGAGCAATATCTATGAACTTTTTGGTAGAGCCAGTCATCAAGTAGGTGCTTAATGGCTATCTGCAACAGGTTTATTGGAAAAAAACACCCAGTAGATGATCTTGAATCAGTAAAATCGCATATCAGTTGAAGAAAATAATATTATCATGAATAAAAAATCAACAATGGTAATTAAAACATGAATTTTATTCAAAAATCAAACATCTGTTTAAATTTTGACTGAATTATATGTAATTTATTAATATTCAATAAGCTGGTGATGTTTCAATGACAAGATGTCATCGCATACTTTGACAATATTTTGTTTTCAACATTTCATAGCTATTGGTTGCTAAAATTTGTTGATTGGAACTTGAAGCTCATTCGCAGTATTTGACGGACTGTTACCCCATAGGTGGAGAATAACGGACTGTTGTTGGTGAAATTGACCCTTAAAGTATCAAAAAAAAAACGCAGATCCAAGAAGAGTTCCAGCGATCTTTCACCACTGCCAAGTAAGCCCAACCAGCTTCAAATAAAAAATTCAGAACCAAGCTCTCGAGCACCACACCTTCGAGACTACCTTCATCAAAGCGGGACACGACGATAGTACTGCGCGAACCAGGGAAGTGGAAGTTTCTATCTCAATAATGTGTTTCTCTCTGTATTAAAATTGAAAAAACTGTGGCTATCGATGCCGGAATTAGAATTACCCCTAAAACAGAGGAGGATTATAGAAAACTTGTCCGCTTTCTAAAAGAAAAATAAATAACACACCATACTTTTCCCCTCCCTGGAGAAACAAACATTCACGCAATCCTTAGGGGAATACCAACAACTGCAGAGGAATGTGAAGCGAAAGAAGAGCTCATATCAAGGGGATATGGGATATAACCCTCTTCATATAATTTGCTTAAAAAAGAATGACGGGAGACCCATGCCTCTTATAGTTGTGGTACCGCCGAAGGTAGCAAAGTCTCATGACATTCTCAATGCGCGTAAACTCATGGGTTTGGTCATCTCTGTGGAGATGCAACGAACTTCTGGACAAATCGGTCAGTGCCATCGCTGTCAGAGATATGGTCTCTCCCAGTCATATTTTACGGCACCTCACAGGTGCGTAAAGTGCGCCCAGAGGACCTCACGCATCTGTGTCCACTTACAGATCACGATGCTAGGACCTGTGCAAATTGTGGCCAAAATCTTCCAGCAAATAACTTAGGCTGTAAATTTGTCCCCAGAAAAATATTCAAGAGAGCGACAGCAGAGAGCTACTTCTCTAAATTCGAACACAACTTATGCTGCTGCTGCCCCTTCCAGCAACACAAATTCGGACACAGTGCCCCAGTTAATGATTTAGCAGCTGTCCTGAAATCACTTGAACAGACTATAGCTCCTCTTCTGCACGCAATACAAGGCTGTCTTGTCGCAGTCTGTATCAGGGCCGTATAAAAACAATAATAAATAATCTACGACCGTCACTCACTTAGGTCGGTCTGTCTGTCTGCTAATCCTTGGCTCGTCTATAACATGGAAAATAATTTTCAGACAAGGCTATTGCTATGCTAAGGACGAAAAAGCTTTATAGTAAAAAAATCGGATGTGAGTGGTGAGGAGGGCATATCTTAATTTTTTAATGTTAGTATCTTTACACGATTATAACTCCGGTAATTATTCGAACCTATCAGGCATACTTCACCAAAAATAGATTTCCCCGTACATTTGCCTTTATAAAACATTTTTATAGCCACGTTCAATTTAATTTAATTCTTCCACATCCAGAAAACAGAAATATGCATTAGATTCGTCAGGTACAAACAAGTAACACAAAATATTTATCAAGAAATCAGACACTTGGCGACTTCTTACCCTTTAAGTATTTTGCAAACGGTCTTTACCTAGTACGAACATTATGTAGATCCTTGTTCAACGTGAATAGAAGTTTGTTTTTGTATAGATATATTGCCAAACTGTATACAATAAATACAGCAGGCAGTGCAGCTTTATAGTGCGGAAAAAGCTGGTGTGTGTTGTTATGTCATACAAATTAACACTCTTTTCTGGTTCAACAAAACCTGTCATGCATTTGTAGACGCACCTTAAAAGCATAAGGCGTATCTGAACCTGGATTCTACTCGTGCGTAGTAAAGTGAAACCAACTGGTTTTCTGCCAAAGTTGTTCGTAAGTTCTTGAAAATATATGACTGTTAATTCAACTTAGAGACCAAGTGACTACCGTACGCTCTAAAGCTGAGGCACTCATCCAAATATAAGCATAAAAATTTTGTTTCTTGTGGGACATTTAAATCAATGTTGTTCAATTGGAAATTTAAACGAGTTAAACGTTTTGTTGATTGATATTTTTTCTAGATTTAAATCAAGACAGTTATTAGAAAACAATTCATGAATGAATGCCGTTCAGTAGAAGATGCTCATGCTCATTATGTAATATGAGGTCACTTTTGTTCGACAACACTATTGCCGCATCATCTGCGTAGAGCGTGAAGTTGGCCCGCGCAAAAAAACAATACTGGCTCCAGAATCAATCCCTGTGGGACACCAACGTCTATACTCTCCACATCAGATTTCACCTCTAAAATGAGATTGTAACAATTTTGTGATAAACACACATACTGCGTTCGGTCATATAAAAATAACCGAATCCGGTCATGAGATGGACCAACTTACCATAATGAACTAGTTTACTTAGAATCAGTTCATGGTTTACGTAGTAGAGAAGGTCACAGAAGATCCGAACAGGACACTTTTCGGCTTCCATGAACTATGAAATTTTAAATAGACGCGTCCCATTCAACGCATCTAATGTTGATATATCGATATCCGCTTCGAGGTCTGATTCATCTATGAATCGTGTTTGGTCCGATGGAGATGGGTGACTGGAGAGTGGCGAAGTTAGTCATACCAACGTTGCCAGATGGTCGATACTGGCGGAAGGATAGGGGAAGAAATTTCGAGATCGCAACGTATCAAATGCGTGGTATTGTTACTATGGACTAATTGTGAAGGCCAGCTTGACTGACCTGATCTTTTAATTTTTGTTATAACTAAATACTCGTAGCTACATGTTTCTCAGAGGGGCTAACTTGTATCTTTTCTGAACTGATGACAGCTTTACGCAGAAAGTGCACAATCAACCTACTTGACGTAATTTTTTCTGTATGATTTTTAATAATTGAAAGTCAGGGTTTTTTTCAATTTGTGTAGCAAATAAGTTGTTAGACATTTTTCTCATTGAGTTTTGAAATAAACCGCTCAATTTCAATGAATGGCCGAATTCTACCAAAGAGCTATTTATTTTGGCTGATCACCGAAGAATTGATGTGGCACGAGCGCATCTCGTCAATAGCGGCAGCTGCTGGCAAAAGCTATGCTATCTGTTTAGGGCTAAGAAGTACTTTTATTTACATAAGCTCCTTGCTTTGTACAAGGCCCAGATAAGACCTAGCCTCCAGTACTGCTCCCATGTATGGAGTGCTGCGGCCCCGACTACATTATCGATGCTCGATGCTGTATGATCGATGCCTCGTCTCTAACGTATTTTCTCGGGACCCTGTCGCACCGACGGGCCGTCGGCGATCTAGCTCTCTTTTACCGCTATGTCAACGAGCTGCCAGACAGACTCGCCTGAATTCGCCTCCCTTCCTAATCGTCGAGCTTCGTACACAGAGAATGGGCCGATTCGATCAATCCTTCGTGTCTAGGGTATCGAGATTGAGGAACAATCTACCTGAGGACGACTTTCCTAGTTTTATAGCCTTGGGCAGATCAAAAACGGATAACAAAGTTTTTCTTCATAGCAGTTGCGGTGCTTTGGGATTTAGGCTTCTGCCTACGTGGCAGCTTCGGTATAAACAAAAAATCTACCATTATTTCTGAGCTTATACCATTACGCATGGCACACCACGTCATGCTTAGTGTCAGGTTTTGAAATATTGCCAGAAAATCGTAGTGTGGACAGACTTTCGGAGAAGCAGTAAGCAGTAGGTCAAGACCTCTTCCTCTTGTCAGAAAGTTTTTTCAGCGGCCGATGTGGAAAGTTTTTTCGCTGTCCTCTTATACAGTATACATTCTCAGGCCCGAGGCCAAGGGTGAATTAACACCCTCATAAGCTCCTTTGGCATTATTCCGGCAAAAACTTCAGATCGGAGAGTTGGTAAATTTCATAATACATCTCATATTTCTTCCTGAGTAGATTTTGATCGTTATAAGGGTGGAGTGACTTTGGGTTAACAAAATATCACGAGCATATCAAGTGGTCTCAAACGCTTAGATCAGTTAATAGGATTTTTTTATATTGAATCAGCCATGGAGGCATATAAATATATCTTAACAGTCACATTTATAAAGGTTTCTTCAGGATTTAATGATGTTTGAGGAATGATCTCTCCTTGGATTTTAAATAAATAATAACACGTCCTTGAGTAAAGTTCAAGCGACAATTTGACTTTGCATTCTACAGCAACTCTAACAGTTGTCATCACTGGCTGTCATCTATGCCAGAAAACATTTTCTTTGTTGACCTTAGTATTCGGCACACATTTTGGAAAGTACTAAGCAATGAAAAGTGTTCGCTTTCTCGGTTGTCAAGCGAACAGCACAGCCATTTTATAGCGGAGCGGACTAGGCTGAAATATAGGCAACCAGTGTTGCAATACTGATTTTGACAGTTTGAGCGGATTATACAGCTTGAAAGTTTTCAAAAGAAAATTCTAAGATTCTGTAAATTAAACTGCGGAGTCGAATGATATGGAAGTCGATATCTACGTTACATATATGTTGTATAAATTTATTAAAGTATAACTATCAGTTATAAAGGGTCCTGCAGACGAGCCATTGATTGGTTTATAGCACATGTGAGGCAAAACGAGGATGTAAACCTGAAATAAGTTTATATTAGACGTGCTTTATTGCTAAAATAAGCAACTGGAATACAGAAATAATAGTTAGTAACAGGGATTCACAATCGTATCTTATAGCTACGGTCTGCACGCTCTCTCTCTCTGTCTCTCTCTCTCCCTTCAATATAAAATGGATAATATGGTGCAATCTTTATCGATACAATCTGAGAAACTGGATACGTTGATTCCTTAAGAAGAATAATAACAGTCATCGTCTGTATTGGAACTGTACAATTCAATACAGAAATAACAGTTGCAAATGCTGGCGCAGCTTAGAACGCTACTCTTACACTTAACCACAAATGCTGTTAAGTAGCAGATAGCTAAAATAAAAAAATGTATGTTGCACAAAAGTTTACTATACATACACAAGAGAATAAAATAAAACATTAACAACAAAGACAAAAACAACATATTTTAACCTGATTCGATACTTAACAGCTTTTTGGAAGCAATTTAAGGATATGATTTTAAATTCAAGACTCAAAGCATTGCAGATTAATAGATGGCATGCCAGTAAGATAGTACTGCATCTGTGGCCAAAAATTGAGTTTACAAATAGGTTTAATCGAAAAGTTGCAGTGCATTATAATGTTTTACAATATCTCACAACAATTGTGAAGAAATAAGTGCCTGAAACTACTGAAAACAGTGAAAATCTTCATTATTCCTGAGAACTGTCAATAGCAACTAGTTCGTCGCCATTATGGGGTTATCGACAACCAAAATGCGCGAAAACAAGTCAACAATCATCAATACCTTTAATGAAAAATGTTTACAAGAAATAGTGAGCAAAGTCGTACAACTGGTAGAAAAGCAGATTGAGGAGAGACTTAACAGGAACGAGGAGGAAATACAGATTCTTTGTGACAGGGTCGAGAATTTGGAAAGGGATAATAGACGTCTTATCATGAAATGGATGATAAGAGCAAATGGAGAGATCCCAAAACATCAGAATATTTGGGCTGAAGGAAGAGGAAGCGGAAGATTTGGGGAATGTTATAGTGGAACTGTTTCAAAACAAACTAAAAGTAAACATACAAGAAAAAGATATAGCTAAATACCATCGCATACCAAAAAAAAAACTCAAATAACAGTACTTCGGCCGTGCTGTTCGGTTCACCTCCAGCGATTCACAGGCATCGGTTTTGAAAAATCGAAAACTATTGAAAAACACCGGAATTCGTATTAAAGAAGATCTGACTAATCGCGACCGAAGTTATTTAAAAGATGTATTGATCTGTTTACGGAAAACAATGCGTGGATCTCGTAAGAGGAAATATTTACGTAAAACAAAACAATG